CTAATATTGTCACTGTCCTTTAAAATATCCAAGGGCACCCGTGTGTCTATAGAGTGAACTTCAGTTTCCTTATTTTAGCATTCAAGGACCTTCCTATTTTGGCTCCAGCCTACCACATTGCTTTATTTCACACCAGCCCCACATTCCATTCATATACTGTAACCACATTTTCTTGGGTACAAAGTCACTTACTGAAAAAAAGTTAAGCATATTTGGAAACCAAAATTCATTTTCTGTGAATGGGATATCAACATATAGCATTGGCAGGCATTGAAACAGACTATAGTCTATTTTTAAAATGACTTAGATGATAAAAACAACATATATATCATCACTAATCCAGTGGTCAATATTAGCATAATTCTGTAAGATTCCGTAAATGTTGCATCTATTGTAGATACAATGTTATGTATCTAACATAACATCTAACAGGTTAGATACATAACATTGTATGTAATATAATGAAACATGAAGTATGACCTGTCACTTGTGAGGTGTACTAGTTTGATATGTTTGACTTGAATCCACTGAGTCTTCAAATATAACTTTCTTGTTCAAGAAATACAAGGCTTATAGGAACAAGCTCAATGACTTCATGAGGAAGCAACCACTCAGATAAAAACATTTTGCACTTCAAGTGGCCTGATTTCTACAGTGAACAAGAATCTTTTAATTTTTTTTTAAGTGCCATAATTAAAAAGTCAAGGGATGTAACCAGATGGAATTTATGGTCCTGAATTGGATACTGATTTGGGAATACTGGTTGTAGAAAAATATAATTTGGTCAACAGAATATTTGATTGTAGTTAGGTATTGTATGAGAGGAAATTTTCCTGTAATATTACTCATTTAAGAAAGCCAACTGTAAAAATAACTTTAGGTTGACAGAAAATGTGAATGTGATCTAGGAATTAGGTGAGAAGAAAATGTACTGAAATAAGGTAGATATTTTTAATTGAAAAAGGAGATGACTAAAGTGATCTCATTTTGAAAAAAAAAATACACACACGCAGAAGGATATACTCTAAAATATTAACATTGGCGCTGGGAATGCCATGTTTTTTGTTTTTCATTAAAGCATAGAGACAGGGTCTCACTATGTTGCCCAGGCTGGTCTCCAACTCCTAGGCGCAAGCCATTCTCCCACCTCAGCCTCCGAAAGTGTTAAAATTACAGGCATGAGCCTGTAATTTAAAAAAATTTTTTTTAATGCAATGCTTTTTGAAAAAATTTTATTTTAGCTTGTCTGTATTCTCCAAGGCATGTTGTATTGATTGTGTATACAATTTTATTTAAAAATGTATGTTAAGATTTACATAAATATTTGGGGTGTACGTGAATCAAGAAATACATGAAAGTATGGGCACCAAAACGTTAAAAGTGGTTTTGTTGGGAGTTCAGGGGATTTTACTTTTTCCCTAATACTTTATTCTTTGAATATCTTGAAATGGATATTTTGTAACTATATAAGGAGAAAGGAAGCGAAACTCTTTTTCTGCAGGGGTACAGCCACTTCTGTTGTATTAGACAAATCACAGAGGGATTGCAACAGAACACAGCTTTTTCTTACTGTTTTTTCTCTGGTTGATCGGGATGCATTATCCACCAGAAAACACTGTAGATGACTCATTCACCAAGAAAAGAGCATATGCCAGTTGGAATAAAGAAAGGGGAAGAGTAAGGAAGAGGCTGTAGAATTATTTTATAAATTATCACGTCTTAAGAGCCAGGTGCGGTGGTACATGCCTACATACAGTCCCAGCTACTCAGGAAGCTGAGGTGGTAGGAGAGCTTGCGCCCAGGAGTTCGAGGGTGGAGTGTGATACGATCGTCTGTGAATAGCCACTGCACTGCAGCCTGGACAAGATAGGGTCTCTTTAAAAATAAGACTTAACTAGCACTTTAATAATCATTGTTTTTGTTCCCCACTACATTGTACATTCATTGAGGACAGGGACTTTAAACTTCATTATATTGCTGTTGCTGTGTTTCACCTTTGAATGATATTAAAATAAAAATCTCATCTTTGAGTCACAATCTGATATAACCTTGTGCATTTCTGTCCTCTTGTGTGCCTTAAATGCCTTTAGGCAGCTATGTTGTACCAGTGGTTTTAGCACTTGGCAGTTGGAAGTTTTGACTTCTAGACTGGATTCTGGTCTAGACTCATTTTATAAAGCTAAATTACTTTATAAAATGAAAAAAATCGTACCATTCTCACAGATTTGTGGTAAAGCTGAAATGAGATAGCCACATAAAGACCCATCACAGTCCCTGACACACCGTGCGTCCTCAATAAATGCCAAGTGAATTTTATTACGCTGTGAAGTACTGATTTTCAAACAGGACTTGCAGCACATGAAAGATGAGCAGGGGGATTCCTTGCTCAAGCACCAGTACTCTGAGGTTGTACCCTTTGTTCGGCTCAACAGGTACTACCCAGTCCGCTTCCATAGTCCCCAGTCCCGGCCGCCTGTCCAACTCCAGATATAGAGCGCAGCCAAGGTCCAGCTAACAGCCTGTGCACTTCGCGCAGGCGCACAGTCCTGAGGCGCGCTGAAAACCCAGGTGGGGCTCGGAAAGAGGAAGCTCCGCCTCGCTTCCCGGTATTGGGCCAATAGGGTCGCTCGTCGTGGTCGCGGACCTATGAGACGGGGCAGGGGGCGGGGCGGAGGGCGGAAGAAGTCGCTCTCACGTGAGTAAGGGGCTGGGGGGGCGGGGAAAGGGCGGCTTGGGAGGCCCAGGCGGTGGAGCCTCCGGGACGGCGAGCGGCGGGCGGCGGAGGAGGAGACGGCGGGTCGGGTAGGGCCGCGTTTCCCCTCCTCCTCCTCCCACTCTCCTACCTACCAACCCCAGGGGTATTTTCGACGGCCCCTGCGGAGAGCCAAGCCGTCTTCTCATCCCGCGGGGTCGGGCCAGTGGAGCTCCGCTCAGCTCCCTCGACGGGCCGAGTTCTGAGGGGAGCCGTGATTGGGGGGAGGGGGAGCTGCGACGGAGGGGAGAGGGCGCATGCGCAGGCTGGGCCGCTCTTGGGAGCCCCTGCCCAAACCGGTTCCCCCTGTCTGGGTGGGTGCCGGTCTTCTGAGTCTTGCGTATTTGGCCCTCCCTCTGGTCCCTCTGCAAAGCTGGTTTGTATCTTGACTTTAATGTTTTAGGCTTGGTCCTCTTTGGGAATCCAGCCGCTCCCCCCCGCCTCAGTTTCTCCCCATTGCCCACTAGGCCAGTATCTGTGTCTTAAGCTACCTTGGGCCTCAGGCTGTCCTGGGCTGCGCCTAAATTTCAAAGATTTGCTAGTTTTCACTGTCGCTTTGCCATCTCAGGTTGGTCTTTCTGTCTCATTTCCCCGTCTGCAATTAAAGTGTCCTTGGCATCCCAGTCTTCTCATCTTGAAGCAGCTACCCCAGTACTTCATCGCTGTGTCCTTTGATTATCCGCACCCTTAACGGTTTTACGTGTTGAACCAAAGAATAACGTCAAGACTTCATGAGTTCGCTGTCCATTGCCTGGTAGTACTTTGGTCTCCACTCTTCTACATCCAGACTGTTTATGATCTGCTCCTGCGTTTCACGTATCTGCATATCTTTGGTTACTCGAGAATTCTTTTTTGGAAACAAATGTCCTAGGAGACCGTGTTGAGTGATCATACTACTAGTGTTCCCGCTACTAGTGCTCCGTTAGCTTTAAATCATGTTCCAACTTGAATTTGAGGCCTTTTGACTTTCGTTGGCTTTTTATCAGGGGAAAAAAACCTGTTAGGGACAGGGTTTCACAATTCCTTTTATATTTCCGTTCACATGTATTTACAAACATGTGCCTGGAGTAGTAAGTACACAGTGAGTGAGTTTCCAGCTGTTTTTGTTTCGGAAGGGAAGAAAAAAACAATGGAAGGTGAATGGAATTGTGTTTGTAACGTTAAACTGATGTTTGAAAAGTAGTTGGGAAAAAAAGCTTAGGTAACAAGGATGGCTCATCCAACTTTTTTTTTAAACGAAGGACCTGTTGCCTTAGTTCAAGTTTGTATAAGGTGCTATTTAATATGTATTGAAGACTTAACTAGAGCTTACTTATAAAAACTGAAAATAGGGGCCGGGTGCGGTGGCTCACGCCTGTAATCCAGCATTTTGGGAGGCTGAGGCGGGCGGATCACCAGGTCAGGAGTTCGAGACCAGCCTGTCAAATATGGTGAAACCCCATCTCTACTAAAAATACAAAAATTAGACGGGCGTGGTGACGGGCGCCTGTAGTCCCAGCTAATTGGGAAGCTGAGGCAGGAGAATCGCTTGAACCCGGTAGGCAGAGGTTGCAGTGGGCCGAGATTGGCCACTGCACTCCAGCCTGGGCAACAGAGTGAGACTCGTCTCAAGCAAAACAAAACAAAATAGGGAAGAGAAGTCTTTATAAATCTTCCTTTGTAGACCACTTTGTATTAATAAAATTTTAATCCATGATTGATTTGTATATATTGGTAACATTTAAAATTCACATGTAACTTGAATTCAAGATAATAACTCAGATTCATAAAGTTGAAATATTAGTGGCATACAGTGATTCATGCTTGTAATCCCAACACTTTGGGAGTCTGAGGTGGGAGGACCACTTGAGAATTTCCAGACTGCAGTAAGCTATGATGGGTGTTACCTGGGTGACACAGCCAGTTCCCATTAAAAAAAAACAAAAACAAAAAACTGAGTTATAGGCATATTGCCAGTTCCCATTTAAAAAAAAAAAAACAAAACTGAGTTATAGTCATGTTGTGGTGCACTTTCTGTCTTTCTTTTTTTTTTTTTGAGATGGAGTTTTGCTCTTGTTGCCCAGGCTGGAGCAATCTTGGCTCATTGCAACCTCCGCCTCCCGGGTTCAAGCGATTCTTCTGACTCAGCCTGGGATTACAGGCTCCCGCCACCACGCCCAGCTAATTTTTTGTATTTTTAGTAGAGATGGGGTTTCATCGTGTTGGCCAGACTGGTCTTGAACTCCTGACCTCAGGTGATTCACCTGCCTCAGCCTCCCAAAGTGCAGGGATTACAGGCATGAGCCACCGCGCCCAGCCACTCTTACTTTTAATTGTTTCAGTGTTATAATTCAGTTTACAGTTAACGCATTGACATTAATAGGTATATATTTGTTTGGAAAGTTAACCTGTCAGCTGCGTGCATTTTGGTGTTTTTGGCATAGGATTTTGTTTGCAGTTTACAACTGGTGTAGTAATGTAGTGGGAACAGAGACACCTGTTTCCTACCTTTTCTGCTGCATATTGAGAGAATTGTGTTATGCACTTTATCTACATGAGGGGACATGGTTTTCCACACAATATATTAACTGAACTTTGTAGCCCAGCTTCTTTTAAATAAGTCTTTTTTTTATTCAGTATATTTCCAGCTAAAGGAAATCCTCCTTTGGAGGTCTCATTATTTCCCACTAGTTTTAACAAGGAGCCTTTGAATACAGGTTTCAGAAAATAGTTTAAATTGGTGCTACAGTTGAGTATCTTTGTAAAAACACTGGTGTGCTAAGGTTCTGACATAGACTGCCCATAATGTTATCTTTGTAATTTCAATATAATCAGATATCATTAGCCTTCTCAAGCATGTGGAATAAATGAATACAACACACTTTTTTTTTTTTTTTTTTTTTAAGAGATAGGGTCTTGTTCTCTTTCCCAGACTGCAGTGCAGTAATGCTGTCATAGCTCACCTCAACCTTGAACTTCTGGGCACTAGTGATCCTCCTGCTTCAGCCTCCCAAATAGCTAGGACTGCAGGCACCTGCCACCATACCCAGTTAATTTTGCTATTGTTTGTAGAGACTGGGTTTCACTATGTGGCCCAGGCTGTTATCAAACACCTGGCCTCAAGCAGTCCTCCCACCCTGGCCTCGCAAAGTGACAGTGTGACAACACTCTTAAGTAATCTTTTCTTTTTTTCTTTTTGAAACGGAGTCTCACTCTGTCGCCCAGGCTGGAGTGCGGTGGCGTGATCTCAGCTCACTGCAATCTCCCAGGCTAGAGTGCAGTGGCGCAATCTCAGCTCACTGCAACCTCTGCCTCCCAGGTTCAAGAGATTCTCGTGCCTCAGCTTCCCGAGTAGCTGGGACTATAGGTGCGCGCCACCACACCCAGATAATTTTTTTTTTATTTTTAGTAGAGATGGGTTTTCACTATGTTGGCCAGGCTGGTCTTGAACTCCTGACCTCAGGTAATCCACCTGCCTCGGCCTCCCAAAGTGCTGGAATTACAGGAGTGAGCCACCACGCCTGGCCTAAATAATCTTTCTTAGCGAGACGGTACTTCAGGGATCGTTCCTATAGTTTGTTAAATAATCTTTCTTGGAGATAGAACTCAAATATTTAAGAAGTGAATTTAATGTACATAAAGCAGAGTTTAGCATGACATTTTGGTGCTTTGTATGTAGTTGCCTTGTTTTACTGAGTTTCCATAGTTAGATCCCAGCAAAAAAAATTCAAGGCTCAGGACTTGATGCCCCTGGGTATACCTGAAAAAACACCATCTAAATATCACAGCTGTTGCTTTTTTTTTTTTTTTTTTTTTTTTTTTAGCGTAAACCGGTTATCTGGTCATCCCTACCACCCTAACCCCTCTCAGTTTTGTGTTGATCCTGAGATCATTATTGTTTAGAAACCTTGTAAATCAGAACAATATTGGATGGACATTTAAGCTTACATTGTAACCATTCACGTTGACCCTAATAGCCTTGTTTCTCTTCATGTGCAAAGACCAAATATGGAAGTGTGCAAGTGTTGAACACGTTAGTTTATAGAATTTGGCCTGGAAGTTTCCCTCCTCTTTCCAAATCAACCATAATATTCTGAAGTACTCAGTGAGAATTTTTTGAAGATTGTTTTCCATCAGACTTTACCACCTAAATCCCTTTTTCTGATCACTATACAGTAAAATAAAGCCCTAATCCTACTTTTAAGCTCCTGTCCGACATTAAATAGTATGTATTTGTCTGTTAAGTATGAGAAATATATCTTCTTAATTGTATACCTTTCCAAGAATTAATGCATAGTTGTTATG